GTCTCGAAGCAACGGTAGATTAAGGCACCAATCAACCAATAAAAATACGCTGTGAAACACTGAATCATAACCGTTTTTTATATAACTGCCCGTCTTTCAGCGAATTCACAACCAAAATCTTGAAAAGAAAAAAAGAAAGAAAATGAATCCTTTTGTAGTAAGGTCGGTGAAGCAAGGCCTGATCAATGGCCGAACTACTGCGGAAGCAGCATCAGCAATGGACACGTGCGCAGGTCCGCCACAGTTGGGAGAAGCGTGCAGTGGAGTGGACAACAAAACGGCGTGACGTTTGGTGTGTTTGAGTGGAGAAGGATGATGAGTTCTGCCCCTGCTTCGATGGAAAAAGCGCCGCTGGAGAAGGAAGAGAAAAAGGAAAATTTGCTGGCGGAAGGGAAGAAAGGAAAGGAAGAGTCGTCGTCAAGTTATTGGGGGATTTCAAGGCCTAAGATCACCAGAGAGGATGGCACTGACTGGCCCTAAAATCAATGTAATTTGATCTAATTGACATATATTCACGGATGAAAAACAAGATCTATTAGTTATAAAAAATTATAAACTTACATCAAATCATCAACTTTACTCAACAATTAATATACTCTCAATCTTCTCTAGTCCTATGAAATATTCTCAACTAAAACAAACACAAACTTAAACAAACACAATCTCAAACCCTTGTGTACTCTTTCAACATAACCAAACACATATTCATATGTTCTATACATCATACTTATGTGAATCCTCTCAATATCTTATAGTCCATTCACAAACAAACATACACACTCATAAAATTCTATAAGGAATACAAACCTAAACAAATACAAACCAAAACTTTTGTGTACCTTTTCAACATATTCATATGAAGTGAACCCTCTCAATCTTTTATAGTCTACTCACAAATAAACATATACACTCATAAATACTTATGTGAATCTTCTCAATATCTTATAGTCCATTCACAAACAAACATACACACTCATAAACTTTAAAACTCCTCTTATCCTCTTTATTTTTTATTTTTTTTCCTAATGTCTTTTCCATTTTCGTTAAACTTGATTTATTCTTTCTTGACTATTTCTTCTCTTATTAGGTTCAATTTTTGTAGTAAAATATATTTTTATATTTTTTCATTTTCAAAAGTTTTAATGCATCTTTTTCCTCTTTTCTTTCTTCCTGGATCGATTCTGCGATTTGACTTTTGAATTTTCGTTTCCACCTGTATTCTGGGCTGCTATGTTCTCGACTTGTTACCATCGATCATAATCTTGTAAGGTGGACTTATCCAGAAGAAAGTATTCATGTCTTCTTTTATCTGAAAATAATATATTAATTCACGTAAAAACAGAGACTACATTTGTTTTAAATGCATATGATTTTTATTAAAATTTTAAGATACGTTGCTTTTTCTTTTCCTATCATGATGTGTTACGTTAAATTGTAATATCTATTCTAAGGCTGTGTTTGGAAGTCATATCAAAACAAAGAAAAGCGCGATTGCTCTGTTCTTTATTTATTTTTCTATTTGGCAGATAATTTAAAGAAACAATGAATAAATTTGATTAATTATTTATCTTTTGTTAAAGGATTTTAAACGTGTTATTGTTCTTTTTCAAATAGAGATGATCTCAAAGATTTTTGAAGATTGAGAAATTTCAATCAATCTTAGTTTGAGGCGCTAATTTTTGTGCTCTTTGTTTGCGCTTTTTAATGTAGCCATGGGAAACTTACAGGGCTAACCTGTCAATTGATTTGAAAAAGCACCATGTGCCAAAGAACTTTGTGGATAAATTTGCTTACAGGACAGTCAAAATCCTTCGGATTCCTACGGATCTGCTCTTCCAGGGTTTTTTTTTTTTTTTTACCTTCTCTGTTCCATGATTACATTATTCTTTAATCGTTTAATTGCATTTTAATATGTTCTTATATGTTATGGCTTTTATATTTCAACTGAACTTTTCATTCTTTGTTCTCACATTTGACATTTTTATACTTATGCCAGCACTTATATAGATCCAAGCTTGTCTTGATATTTTCAAAATTAGCTGGTTGTTGCACATTAGAAGACAAATAGGGTTTCTATCGTATGATTCTTGTCATATATATATGTATATGTATATGTATATATATTCAAGGCATCGCTGCTTTTACAGGAATGAAAACAAACTCCGCAGTTTCTGTGGGGCTCTTTTGTAGACCTCCTGGTTAAAAGCTTATTCTCGCATGTGACTTTTAGTATTTTATCTGGCTTTCTTGAAATGCAGAGACGTTATGGCTGTCGTGCTATGATGCTGGAAACAGTGGCGGCTGTCCCTGGAATGGTTGGAGGGATGCTTCTGCATCTGAGGTCCCTCCGTAAGTTCCAGCAAAGTGGTGGTTGGATTAAAGCCTTGCTTGAAGAAGCAGAGAATGAGAGGATGCATTGGATGACCATGGTGGCAATTGTGAAACCCAAGTGGTATGAGAGGCTCCTTGTTCTGACCGTGCAGGTGCCTTCTTTGTTCTTTATGTGCTCTCTCCCAAACTAGCACATAGAATTGTTGGGTATTTGGAGGAGGAAGCTATTCACTCATATACAGAGTATTTGAAGGACATAGAAAGTGGTGCAATAGAAAATGTTCCAGCCCCTGCTATTGCAATAGATTACTGGAGATTGCCTAAAGATGCTACCCTCAAGGATGTTATAACTGTGATTCGCGCTGACGAGGCTCATCATAGAGATGTCAACCATTTTGCTTCTGTACGGCTCACTTGCCTCTTCCACTCCCATGCTCATTTTTCTTTAACAGATTCTTTATGCATGCTTCTTGCCATCCATTTTAACATTGATAAAGTATTTTATTGTTGTTTTTTATAATTGAGCCACCATTTATTCTAACTGACGTAATGAAGTACCATCAAAGTCGACCAGTTGGTAAGTTTTTGTATATTTTGGTGTATGAACTTTTGTTCCCTTTTTCGTTTCTTTAAAGGCTTGAATGCATGATTATCATTTGGAATTTATAAATATATAATCTTTTGCTTTCGATTTGGCACCACGATAACACATCAATTGGCACGGACTGGATCATGTTCTTTAAAGATTGATTGATAATTGTTCAGTCTGTATTCGAAACTGTGACAAGATATTTATTCCATTATCTAAGTCCTAAAAATGTCATGAACCTGAAGTGCAGAGACTATAAGAGAACTGGTTCCCTCCTCCCTTCCCTCTCCTTTTTTGAACTTTAGACATTACTATGTTCTCTGGTTATGGGTGATATACAATGCAAGTCCAAAGTACTAGCCATATACATCCCAAGGTTCAATAATGATATTAATGCTTATTTTTGGGGTTCAATATTTTTTGTATGCAGGATATTCATTTTCAGGGAAAGGAATTGAGAGAGGCACCTGCTCCTCTTGGTTATCATTAACTCTGTTGGATGTCGGAGATTCTTCTAGAAATTCTTGTTTGATGCTAACTTGAATAATCTTGCTTTTGTATAAATTAGTTTTCCCTAATGAAAGAAGAGGGCGAGTTGCATATGGTAATTTCCAAATTTGGATGAATTTTTATGATCATTAAAATTGAAGAATATGGCTACTTCGACATTTTCTATTCTAGAATATTTTCCCTTTGGTTTCCGAAATTTGGACAAAATTTCTGGGTAACTTGGTCCATAGATTACAGGGAATTCTCTTCTTTAGGGGAGCGTAAGATTATTATGGTAATGTAATTATTGGGGTAATCTTACTTTTAAAGTGGTCTTAATATTTATGATTTAAAATCATTTGGCTTAGTTAACAATAATTAAATTTAAAAATTAAAAATTATTATATTTGGTATTATTGAAAATTAAATATTATTTTGTATAAAAATGCAAAAATAATCATACATATTATAAAAATTAATAATTTTAAGGTTATTTACAAAATAATCTATAAAAAGTAGTAATATTTATTTATTTTATAATAAAATATAATTAAATTATTAAATTAACAAATATATTTATTGATGAATAAATTAATTTTTATAATATAAATTATGTAAAAAATATTTGAATTAAAAAATAAAATTAATTTATTAAATTCATTAAAAAAACAAAAAAGTTATATTATATATAAAATATTAAAAAATTAAAAATAAATATGTAAATTATTTTAAGCTTATTATAATGAATATTAATTTGAAAATATATAAATTTATAATATAAAATAATTATAGTTTTAAGATGCAACGAGTTTTTAATTCACATATTAAATAAGTAAAATTATCTAAAATTAACTATTGATTATTTAACATATTTCATATTAGTGATAAAAGTTTCTTTCCTTTGGCATAGGAATCAAATCACCCTCTAAGACAATAATTTAATTACTTTTGGTGATCTCAAATTACTGTCACGTAAAATCATTATGTGTTTACCAATATGATAATCTAATTGTCATATTAAATCATCATAATTTTTAAGTGATTAACTTATACCAAACATTACTTAAAAGTACAATGTGATTAATTTTTATGAATTTAAAAAAAGTGATCATATTAAGATTAGTTATTATAGTGGCTCTATGTACTTAAATGCAAATGTAGCAGAGGAGATAAAATGTAACGAGAAAAAATGATCATAAAAAATATTAAATTAAAATTTACATATAAAAAAATTATTAATATATATATATTTTTATATTTATGAGTTAATAATTAATTAAAATTTATTACAACTATTTTATATCAAATAAAATTTAAAAAGTTTTATTTAATCAAAATTTTAATGCATACTATTTTTTATATAAATAATAATTAGAATTTTAAATATTAAAAATTATCAAAATATTTCAAAATATTTAATATTTGAAATATATTACTTATAATAATTATAAATGTTATTTAGATAAATTAATATTAAATATAAATGTAAAACATATAGCAAAATAAATAAATTTAAATCTAAAAACAAAAAATAAAGAAAAAAATTATGTTGGAATTTTTTAGAAAATAAGAAAATAATAATATGGCATTGTGGTCCAAAATCGTCAACCGGATCCTCCGTAAGTCCGCTACTGCACCTTAAGGCATCGGTCTCGAACCGGAGAAATGATAGGGTTAAACTCACGAAAAGATGTCATTCAACCGGTTTTCCCTATGATTTGAGGGAAAAGGTATTACACCGAAACTAACCGACAATCCAAATGTATCTGAAGGTGTCATAATCGTAATTCGAATACATTGCAGTGAAGGATGCAAAGTCTAGATTATTCATTATTTGAAGAAATTCTAACACTTATGGTAATATGTCCAAAGTCGATATTATTCATTCACCGTTGTTAATGTCTTACTGTAGAATACAATTAGCATTCCAAGAAGGAAAAGACCTCAGTTTCTTGATAACTACTATAAATGGTCACAACTAATTCTTCAAAAGATTAGGGTTCTTCAGCACCAAAGAATCCTCTCTCCAACTAATTTATCCAAGTGGCTGCCGCGGTTGACCTATTGAAAGGAGAAATGGTAAATTAATCATATTTATGACTTTAAAGCCTATATTGTCACATCTAATATGTGGATAAGAGTCATGAATTTCCGAGACATACCATAAGGAATTATGGTTGCTCTTCAACAGGATGTTTTTCATTATCATGCTGAGAGGTCTCCTTCAATAGCTTCCTGACCTGCCACTAAACCCACCAAATTTGCATGAATCATATGAAAACCTGAACATATCTCATTTAAAGTTAGAGGAGCTTAATGGATCAATAATCAAAATTGTGTTATAAGGTTTATTTTCAAAGACCAGAAACACATTTTGGCCTAACACATATAACATTTCATAATCCTAAATGATGGAAAATAGATTATACTTCAATCTACTTGCAAGGAGAAACTTCATAACCTATGATTTAAACTTCAATGACTAATACATAGCACCCCCAAAGTAACCAAAGGATAACCTTAAATTTTCAAACAAAAATCATGATCTTCAAGAGCCATATGCATGACACCAAAATATAAGACAGAGGCCCTTAAGTAGATTAAATACTCAATTAAGAATCTACCATTAGCGTGATTTTCAATTAAAAATCTTAATTTTAATTTAATTTAATGTAAAATATAACGTTTTCAAATTTATTCAAATAAGATCTTTCGTTATGAGATATAACGTTTTCAAATTTATTTCAATAAGGCCTTTCGTTATGACTATGACTTACACGTGCAAAAAAAAAAAAAGCGTGAATCACTGTTTTGCAACGTGATAAATAGTAAAAATAGCCGAAAACTCTGTTTACTTCAACTTTTCTTCTTAAGCAAACTCTGCCTTCTACAACTTCTCTCTAACCGAAGAACAAACACTCAGAAATCAGCCTCTTCCTTCATCGATCTTGTTGCCAATGACCACCACCGGTCTTTGTCCTTAACTAGTAGCATAACTTCTTTGTGAAAGAAATCAAAATCTCTGGTTCAACCCCTGTTTTGTGTTCTTCTCTCTCTAAATCCCCAAATTAGAAGTTAACTACAACCCAAAAAATAAGAGCTCAAGAATCATGAAATCTCACCGCTAGAATCCAATGCAATTCGCCGTTCATTGTACTACCGATTGATCAGCACCTCTTCCCTTTTCTAACTCTATTTTAAAACCCAGAAATTCCCAAAATGAATCAAACCCAGAAAAAACCCTCGCTGATGAATTCTCAAATCTTGTTGCTGTGGCCACTTCTGTATATTGAAACCCCCTTGTTCGATCAATTGGTTAGTTGCTGATTGTTGATCTTGTTGATGAATTTATTTTGTTGATTGCCTAACAAAAATGTTTTCCTTAGCCCAAAAAACCTATCAGAACAATTGTTTTACCGCATAATTTTTCACCCCTTCAATGATTCAAAAACTTTGCCCAAATTTTTTGCTTTTCAGTGGTCTCTGATTGTGAATTGCTACTATCCGGCCTCCCTTGCTTGACTGTTCAAGGCTAACTGTTGTACTCAATTTTGATCCCTGTCTCCATATTGATTATCAATTGCTATTATGCTCAACTTTTGTGTTCTTTTTCGATTGGAGTTAAATGGTTTTAATAGAAAATGTTAATGAAAAGTGCACTTAACGGCGTATGTAAGTCACAGTTGTAACTTAATCTTTATTTGAACAAAATTCAAAAATATTATATCTTACATTAAATTAAATTAAAATTAAGATCTTTAATTGAAAAAACACGCAAACGTTATATTCTTAATTTAGCATTTAGTCCTGTCAAGTATGTAGTTTTTCCGCACACCTCGTTATGGTATAATGTTTACAGCTAGCTGCAAGACAAAACATTGACTAGGAAAGCAAGATCTTAACAAGTCCAAATATCTAATGATCCAATTATTGATTAATCCTCAAACCAGCACATTACTACCATGACGAAATTTTCAGAGAGTAGCAAAACATTATTATGATGTTATCAATTATCAAACAATTAAAGTTTGCTAATCAAGCACATAATCCAGTAATAAATGAAAACAAGTATGCAAATCATATTCAGACAACAAGAAGTTGGATGAGAATGATGATATAAGAGTGCTTATTACCTCGAAGGTTGGATTTAAAACCACAGCTAGTTAGCTGTCTTGCTAGTGCCTCTCCTAACTCCTTTTGCCAATTTGGTACAACCTTGGCATCTGAAACAGGCCACACTATTGCTGTCTCCGTTGTGAGATTGACAGTCGCAGAAGACACTTGGGGCTGCACAGCATAGCAATGACACAATGAGAAATATAACTAATTCAATTTACAGCAGGAAAAAAAAATAGAGACAACTTACTTGACTTTCTAGTATTCTCTTCACACTCGCTGCACACCCGCCGCAACTCATTCCCTAACACAGAAAATTTAAGAGCAAAAATCAGAAAGCTAGCACAATTCCTTTTTTTTTCTAAATTTAAGAATCCAATGTGGAGGGAAAGAAAGGGGGAATCATACCCCAACATCAAGAATAATAACATCGGCAGGCAAGGCAGAGAGCTCATCAGCCGCTCCCGCTCCCAATTTCGTCTTCGAATCTCCGCCGTCCATCCCTTCCCCACCACCGCCGCCGCCACTCCCATCATCGCCACCAAACACGCCTCCGCCGCCGCCGCCGGTCCCAGAAGAAGCGTTGGAACTCGCGACGCAGTCCAAACGGCGGTGTAAGCGTTTGGGAATGGAGGCGGCACACAAGCTCCTTGGAGGAGACGAATAGGAGAGGGAGGCGAGAGGGCTAACGACTCGACCCTGAGAGAAAAGATGAGTGTGGATGGGCGGAGCGATGGGAGGGTATTTGCTGTTGGAGAAATGACGGTTTAGGGGATTGGAAATGGAGAAGAAAGTGAATGTCGGCGCTGTAGCTGAAAGTGCTGATTCCATCTCAAAAATGGAGTTGCTGCATAGAGAAAAGAGAAGGAGAAGAAGCTCTCATGAATTTTCTGGCCTGAAATCTATCTATCTAATCCATTTATGACGGGGTGGCCCTATCTTATTAACTCTTATTCAGATAGCCATTTGCGTGTGTTGTTAGAATTACAAGAGAGTTGACATACAAACGTGTGCAGTTCAGTGACAAAATATGAAATTTCTCACCCATTTGACGGACGTTCAATGGTACGAAAATACGTGTTTCTTACTTAGAGTTCGTTTTGTGTGTTTGTTTCGTAGTGCGAAATAAATCACGAAGATTATGGTACGAAATTTTTGTGAACGCTTTAACTATAAAATATATATTTTAAATATATATAATTTTTATTAAAATTTAAATTATATTATTTTTATATCATGTTTAAAATTATCAAATCTAATTTTATTATTAACTCATTCAAATCATTAATGTAAATAAATACAAATATGTGAGAATTCTGTTTTCCACTTGTCACATTAATAAATGAATGTTTAGGAATCAAAGATTTCGAAGTTGAAATAATTGTGTGTGAAGTGTGATAAATCCTTCAAACATAATAATTACAACAAGAGTTGTTTTGATATGCACCTGTTTATAACAGTGAAAAAACCAATACAACAGGAAGGGGAAACTCCCAGAAAAGTTACAAAACTTCCTAGTCAACAAAGTGAAAGGGATCATATATTAAAATTTGCAGATTCAAACAGCCAACATTGACCAAGAGAATGGTGAAAACAAGTTCGAGTTCCTCGGTGGAACTTCGACCAGAGCATGCTACTTGGGCCTTTCTCGAACCACCCTTTTCAAAGTAATAAAAGCACGTCCCGATTAAACCATGTAAGTCATGCCGACCTGCATGAGGTGTGAATGGGGCACGCTCGAATTTGCAATACCCCTCCTGCAATTCTTTCTCAAGAAAGCATAGAAGTAGTTTATAACGAGTTTCTTGACAAACCAAGAATCCTTTCTGGCCCTAATATCTCCATGACCAAGAAGATAAACAACTCCAGATTCCTTCGCCTTGCGTATAAAAGATAGCTCCCTCCCTAGACTGTTCAGCATCGGACATTGATGGGTCTGCAGGGGAATCTGCCTTCACCTCCTCCAACGAGCTTGCTTCTGAAATGGGATTACTAGAGCCCCTCAACTCAGCCAGCAGAGGAACACCAAGTGAGTAAACACTTCCATTAGGAGCTATGAGAACTCTTGAGAAAGAGGTATCCTCAGAATCTGTGCCTTCGTCACCATCACTTTCCAATGCCTTTCCTGAGCTTCTCGACGAATGAACTTCTCAAGACTCTCAATCAGCAGCTGCTTAAATGTCTGGTGATTTTCCTTACGAACATCCTTGTAACCATACCTGAGAAAGTGGTTGGTCAGCCAACTGGGGGAATGCCAGAAAGGAAAAGGGTGAACAAAGACAAGAAAGAGGAGGAATCACGCACATGGTAACGTAGGATCAAAGATGCTTGTTCAAAAGTGTTTTAGGGGAGGAGTAGATTTAGTTTCTCCTTTTCAATTTTGTTGTCAAATTGATTCCACGACTCCCTGTCCAAGAGCCATTTTTACCATTCCAGTTAGTTTTTATGATAAATCTCGCAGTTCAAAACTTGAAACTGCAAAGATGATAGCTCCCAACTTGTACGAAAAGGAATTTAGATTAGGCAAGATTACGGGATTAAAGTTTCCAGCCAGAGCATCTTACCTGGCAATACACCGAAAGATATGGTAACTTTTTGCGCAGACTCGCTTGAAAAAGAATCTTTCACTCTGAGGCACCACAGGAACAGGGGACATACTTTATACAGACAAAGATGATCATAGAGTGGATAGCAGGGAGTGTGGTTAGAAAATTGCAGGAACTCCTTTCACCAGCTCATTATAAAGTAAACCAATGCCAGGAGCTCTGATTGTCCCAAGATTGCAGCCCAATTCTCGCATTAAATCCATTAACAGCTTTTTCTTCACTTCAGTTTCATACTTAAGATTGCTACCATAATTCCAGATGTACATAATGTGAAACATTATCACAGAAAAAATTTATATTATCCAACTTCCATCTGTCACACTCCATAAAACTGAGGAGAAAAAAGTCAATTCCAAACCCAGGAAAAAGATCACAAAACTCAGCGCAATTATGATGTTTATCTGCCATACGAGAAGCATGACAATTGTGACTAAAATTGAGGTCATCATCATGACTCCGAGCTCAGCTATACCTGAATAAAAAAAAATCATAACCAGAAAGATGAGAAAACTTATCTAAGTTAAAGCAAGGAAAACAGTATGAAGATCTCTTTATGAAAACTTAGGAATCATTAGGTCTATATCAGATAATCTTAGGCAGTTTGTATCAGCAGCCAGGTAAAATAATAGCATAGCACTTCTTTGTATTCCACAAAGAACATAGATTTATGAGTTACATGACAACAAAAATTAATTCAAGGATAACAAAAGTGATGAATGTTAGTTAAACCAAAACAAATGAGACTAGGAAGAAATATTACCATATGCATTTCTGATCTCGTTAATGCTAGAGATAGAGCACACAAATATCAGGCAAACTACCAGCAAAAACCAGTTTATGACAGGGATATAGATCTGACCCATGAACTTTCTAGATGTATGAATGATTTTAAGACGAGGGAAATGACCAAGAGCAATTGATTGCTTTATGCACGAAAATGTGGCTGTTGTCATTGTTCGGCTGGCAATCAAGGCAGCAATATTAGCTATCAGCAAGAGTGACCAAAACATACCACCTACATGAAGCAAAACAGTTTTTCTCATTTACAGGAAGCAGAGCAAGACAATGTTCCAAAATTTTTTTAAAAAAAAAAAGGGTTTTAATCCAACTATTTGGTGATCCCATAACCCATTGATGATAAAACTAGAAACTTACTTGGAATTGAAGAAAAGAAAGCCTCCTCAGCACCATTAGGATTTCCCATAAGATATGACCCAGATAAGCCAACAACAGGCAAGGCAATACAAGAAACACAAATGTAAGCTGCAAACAACCACTATCAAACAAATCAAAAAATTGTAAGAACGAGAGTCGAGGACTACCAGCAATTTCATCAGTCATTATAGTGTATAAAAAGACATACAAAAAGCAGAAGATTCAGTAACCAAGTTTTCTTGCCCATTACCTGAACTGATGGCACAGAAAAGTAGCAAAGATATGCAAACATTGCCTCAGACCCTGAAACATAAACCACCATCAGCATAGTAAGATCATATACACCGACCATTAATCTTCTACATCAAATTCATCAAAGCTGAATCAAATGCATTACTTTTGCTGAATTTTGTGAACATCTTAAAAAATTACATTCCATTGCAGCAAACAAAGCATCATCAGGAGAAACATAAAAAAATGGTTGGGGTAACATGAGATAACTAGATGTGAAACTTCACAAAGCTAATATTGTTCCTAGATCAAGTTTGTGGTTGCAGGAGAAAGATGTTGCAGTATGACATTCTGGGAAATAGTCTTTAAGAAACGAAGGAAAATTGATTAAAATGATAATATTTGTCAAAGTTGAATACAATAATCTTTTATTAATGCATCTAACTGTTGCACACAAAAGACAACCTCCAAGTGCATACCAGGCCTTAACTGAGTTCCTCTTGAAGTAAAAATAGATGTGAACAGGATTAAATGCCCTCAAAACACTGACGTCATACTTAACAAGATTGTAAATTCAAATGCCTGCTAGAGAACAAAACCATATGAACAAAGCAGGGCCTATAGCAAGTCCCAGTTTACTTGTTCCAAGCTTCTGTACACAGAACAAAATTACAAGAAAGGCAACTGATATCATCACCACTTGATCTGCAAATAAAGAAAAGAAAAGAAGGCAAGAGAATAGTTAACTCAATGGCTATTTACCTGTAATACTATTGCAAATCATAAAGTAAAAATAAACTCTAAGATGTAACAGCAGGAGGGAAAAACAAAAAGGGAGAGAGAAGGGCCTCCATCAAACCATGTTGTTTCTACATCCATGCAGAATGTAGGATTTAGCTCAAATTGTAAACTATAGTCGAGCTAAAGTTAACTCTTTGTTATAAATAGACATTATCGTGGCCAAGTCTGCCAAAGAAACACAATGAACAATTCTTCACTCAGGATCACTCAAGAAGCTATGAGACCTACAAGCTAATCAACTGCACCACCATCCCATACTATATGCAAAGAACAAGTAAATTTTGATAACATGTGAGTTAAATTATGCAAAAGATTTCTAGCCAACAAAGTTAATTGAGAAACAGGAAATGTCCTCTCCAAGAGAATTTGCTAACGAACAACGGAAAAGTAAGACAGCAAAGCAATAATGTTTCGTAGAGTTGATAACAGCATGGAAAAACAGCTTACCTTGTTCAATTGCAGCAACTCCAACCTTCAGACCACCAACAGCTGACATTACTACATTGGGATGAATAAGTATAAGAATAAGTTACTATCTGAACATTAAAAATGAAAATCAATACAGTTATGCTCCATCCAATCATAGCATGTATCATGGATGGATCATTAAAAAAACAAGCAAGAAGAATAGCATAAATAAACCTGACAATGCCAGTGTAACAACCCCATCAGCTATCACCATAGAAGTACCAGCAAGCACTAACATCAGAAGAAGTTTCTTTAGAGTCAATGAAGTCTCTAGTCTCTCCTTTATTTTAAGTGATCCCTCAAGTTCAGGAGATAGCACCTTTAGCCGGAAGCTAGATATGCGGGTATCTGAAGGTAGCTGATATGGGAGAAGACTGACCTTAGCATGCTGGCAAATCAATGAGTACAATGCAAAAGTCCCACCTTCAAGAAACCAGCCACTAAAGATATGAAACAATTGAGATGGAACATATATTTAACATATATGCTTAAGGCCTACATAAAGCTCATGAATAGGGCCTTGATTGGGAACATCCAGCATAACTTCACCATCATTATTTGCCCAAAGAACGACAAGGACATATTTTACTAGGGGGATAAGATTAAGGTGTATAGAACTAGTGATAATGCTCCAATAACATCTTCATTTCCATGCTAAACATCACACTAAACGTATCTAATAGACTTGTTCCAACATCACCAAATACAACTCCAAGTGTCTGAAAGGCAAGTGTTATTCTCCTTCCTATACCAAAGTCCTGAGATCAAATTTAAATAGATACATAAAAGTAAGCAGAAAAACAAAGGCACACAAAAGAAAATAAATAAAAACT